GGGGCTTCCCTGGTGGCATAGTGGTTAAGAATCCGCCTGCCAATGCAGGGAACACGGGTTCGAGCCCTGGTCCGGGAAGATCCCACATGCTGCAGAGCAACTAAACCCATGCACCACAACAACTGAGCCTGCGCTCTAGAGCCCACGAGCCACAACTACTGAGCCCACGTGCCACGACTATCGAAGCCCACCTACCTAGAGCCCATGCTCCACAACAAGAGAAGCCACTGCAATGAGAAACCCGCGCACCACAATGAAGAGTAGTCCCCGCTCACTGCAACTAGACAAAGCCCGTGTGCAGCAATGAAGACCCAAAGCAGCCAAAAAAATAAAAAAAATAAAAAAAAAAAACAACCCAGCAGAAATGTATTCTCTTCGAGTTTGGAGGCCAGATATCCAAAATGAACTGAACCCAAGATGTCTGCAGGGGCTCGTGCTCCCTGTAAATTCTAGGGGCCCTAGAAGGGAGTTTCCTTGCCTTTTCCAGCTTCTGGAGCTGCATTCCCTGCATCCTTTGCTCATGGCCTTTCTCCACTTTCAAAACCAACCACATAGCATCTTCAAGTCTCTGGAGAGATGCTTCAGTGGCCAAGTAGCCTCTGTGACCAAATCTCCCTCTGCCTCGGTCTTACAAAGACACTTGTGATTGCATCTAGGGCCCACCCGGATATTCCAGGCTAATCTCATTTCAAAATCAACATTGCTGAACATCACATAGTTAACAAGTGAATAAGTTGGATTTGGGCCCAGACAGATACTACACTATACTATTAAATTAAAATTCTTTTTTTTTTTTTGCAAAGTGCTAGCTGAGACTCACCAAATTGATTTCACAACTCACTAATGGGCTACAACTTATTGAATAAACAGCCAAGAGACTGTAGATTCCACGAGTGGAATCCTCTATTTTGCTCATCACTGCATTCTTGGAGCCCTCACTTTAATAGACACAAAGTAGCTTCTCAACAAACAGTTGATGAAAGAGCTTCTCACATAATAATACAATCTGAAAGCTGCAGGAAACTGAGAAATTACCCAGTCCAGAGGATTGCAAATGGTATTAACTAGCACTCTTACTTAGGTGTTTCACATGTCGTTTACCCTGTAGACAAAGAATGTCATCTGCCATATCAGTAAATTACGAAAGGATGTTGTGGCCATCAAGCCATCACCCACTGTACACACTGAGGGGATTCAGGATGGAGAATAATAGGATACTGGCACTAGAGAGTTAAGTGTACATCGAAGTGGTGATTTCAATAAGCCCAGACTCTTGCCTCTCCCCATACCTAGAAAAGCACTAAATTCACTAACTTGAGATGTCTGGTTTTCTTTAATTAACAGTAATCTTTTGATGCTCTCTCTACCTGGGCTTTTTGCAAAAACCCCTATATATCCTGGCTCCCCCCTTACATCTTTGGAACAGTCCCTCAGAGCTAATGAGAGGCTGTCTCCTTGGCTTAAGTCCTCGGTATGTCCACCGAATAAAACATAATTTTCAACTTTTAGGTTGTGCTTTTTTTTTTTTTTTTCAGTTGAGAACCCAGTGGTCAGTAGCAAGGGTGGCAACAGAACACAGGCTTTTTAATTTTTTTTTAACATTTCCTCATTCATTTATTCAAAAATATTTGAGAACCTAAAAACCTCAAATTGAAATAATTAGATAAAACAAAAACGCAAGTTGCAGAGGAACTAGACTTCCATATTGTAAATAGTATTGGGTTGGCCCAAAAGTTCCTTTGGTTTTTAAAATAAAAGACACATTTTTCACTTTCACAAAGAACTTTATTGAACAGTGTATTCACTGTTTTGTTCCACTACGTTCTGCCATTTTTCAGGCAACTTCATAATTCCATCTTCCCAAAGATTTTTATATTTTTGAGCAAATAACTGTTCCAGATGCCTTTTACAGTCTTCCAGGGAATGGAAATTTTTTCCATTAAGAGAATTTTGTAAAGACCGAAATAAATGGAAATCCAAAGGTGCAATGTCTGGTGAATACGGCGGATGAATCAGAACTTCCCAGCCAAGCGGTAACAGTTTTCGCCTGGTCGTCAAAGAAACATGTGGCCTTGCGTTACCCTGATGGAAGACTATGCGTTTTCTTGTTTTTTGATAATGGCTTTTTTTTTTTTTTTGGCTGTGTTGGGTCTTCACTGCTGTGTGCAGGCTTTCTCTAGTTGCGATGAGTGGGGCCCACTCTTCGTTGCGGTGCACGGGCTTCTCATTGTAGTGGCTTCTTTTGTTGCGGAGCATGGGCTCTAGGAACGTGGGCTTCAGTAGTTGTGGCACGCGGGCTCAGTAGTTGTGGCTCATGGGCTCTGGAGCCCAGGCTCAGTAGTTGTGGCACACGGGCTTAGTTGCTCTGTGGCATGTGGGATATTCCCGGACCGGGGCTTGAACCCATGTCCCCTGCATTGGCAGGCAGATTCTTAACCACTGCACCACCAGGGAAGTCCACTATGCGTTTTCTGTTGACTAATTCCAGACTTTTCGTTAAGTGCTGCTTTCAGTTGGTCTAACTGGTAATAGTACGTGTTGGAATTAATCGTTTGGTTTTCTGGAAGGAGCTCATAATAGAGGACTCCCTTCCAATCCCACCGTATACACAATATCACCTTCTTTGGATGAAGACCGGCCTTTGGTGTGGTTGGTGGTGGTTCATTTCACTTGCCCCACAATCTCTTCTGTTCCACACTATTTATTATACAATAACCACTTTTCATCACCCGTCACAATCTGTCGTAAAAACAGAACATCTTCGTTACATTTCAGTAGAGAACTGCATGCAGAAATATGGAAATACGGTCAAGAAGGTTTATTTTTGCTTAACTTATGTGGAACCCAAACATCAAAGTGATTAACATAACCAAGCTAGTGCAAATGATTTTCAGCGCTTGATTTGGATATTTTGAGTAGTTGGCTATCTCCCGTGTGGTATAACATTGATTGTTCTCAGTGAATGTCTCGATTTTTTTTTTTTTTTTTTCAGTACGCAGGCCTCTCACTGTTGCGGCCCCTCCCGTTGCGGAGCACAGGCTCCGGACGCGCAGGCTCAGCGGCCATGGCTCACGGGCCCAGCCGCTCCGCGGCATGTGGGATCCTCCCAGTCCGGGGCACGAACCCGTGTCCCCTGCATCGGCAGGCGGACTCTCAACCACTGCGCCACCAGGGAAGGCCGAATGTCTCGATTTGATCGCTATCAATTTCAACTGGTCTACCCGACCAAGCAGCACGGTCCAGTGAGAAATCTCCAGCATGAAACTTCGCAAACCACTTTTGACACGTTCAATCGGTCACAGCACCTTCTCCATACACTAATCTTTTTTTGTATTTCAGTTGCGTTTTTACCTTTCTTGAAATAATAAAGCATAATATGCCAAAAATGCTGCTTTTTTTTCATCTTCAATATTAAAATGGCTACACAAAAATTCACCAATTTTGATTTTTTTTTTTAAATGCACGCTGATATGACAGCTGTCACCATGCAATCTAACAAAATTGTTTCAAATGAAGTTAAGGACAACTAAGTGCTACTAGAGCCATCTTACAGAAAAAAACAAAGGAACTCTTTGGCCAACTCAATATTTAGCATATAGTAAAGCTGAAATAATGTACGCCAAATTGTTTATATATTCTGGTAAAGGTATTGGGGTAAATTTTATGTTTTATATTTCTGTATTATTTGAATTTTTACAAAGAAAATGTATTTCTTTTACAATTATAAAAACGCAGTGAATATTTTTAAAAACCTTTTAACTGTTTCTTTAACCACAGTATCTGACAGCCCTTGACTTATTCATTTCTTTCTTTCTCCCTTCCTTCCTTCCTTTCTTTCTTTTTTTTGCCACGCCTCATGGCATGTGGAATCTTAGTTCCCTGACCAGGGATGTAATCCGTGCCCCCTGCCGTCTTAACCACTGGACCACGAGGGAAGTCCCAACTTATTCATTTCTATATACTACTAACTTAGCCCAAGGTCCAGCTCAAAGTCGATACTGAATAAATGTGCACGAGCAACAGGACTCAATAAGTTGCAATACGAGAAAGGACTCTTTTTATCAGGATGATGATTTTCAAGGTACATCCCAAAAGTACAGTCTTCATTTCATTAATAAGGTTTCAAATCACGTTGGCACTGGTGGGCATGTGATGGCTTTCTTCAGTGTAATTCATGTCCAGCCTGGTCAAGCACCTCAAGTGCACATTTTTGGGTCACCAACGCCCATGGCACCCGGCTTCAAACTTGGGGCCCTAAAGCTGCCAAAGGAAAATCGAAAAGGAGTAGGTGTTGCTAAGAGATCTCTCTAAAATGGAGCCAGAGGCTATTGAGGAAGTGACTCATGCATGTCTCAGCCCAGATAGAATCTGACCTTTTGACCACTTATCTATCGTCTAACAAAGGTATCCAGAACATCTGCACGATGTTCCATAAATTCAAGATACTTATCCGGCCCTTACCCTAAATAACTAGTGACAGTCTATCCCTTAAGGACAAATATTTCCTTTTTGCATCAAAGTCAATCATAATTCCTGCAAGACAACTTTAACAACCTTGTGGTTTTTGCCTTTATAAGCCTCTGACTCTTTCTCTTTCCCAAACACTCTTCCTATTTTGCTGGCACTTATCCCCAGTTGCAATTCCCAAGATCCCAAATAAAGCTCTTTGCGGCCTCCATGCTGATTACTGTTTGACAAAGCCTCTAGGCTCAGTTATCGCAGTCACCCGTTCGAGCCTACGGGTGCCTCACGCATGCGCCCTACTTTGCAGGGACCCGGAGCTTGAAGCCTATCTCTCCCGCTGTCCCGGCTCCCTTAACTCCCAGGG